TTAAATTTTTCCTTGTGAACAATTATCGCATTTAACTCAAATATGTAATCATCACCAAGCGTAATGTCAACATAAAAGGTTTCCATACTCTTTGCTATTCAATTACTAATATAAAAAAAAATTGTTTAGGCATTGCTGCATGAGTCATTGTTCAAGTTGTCAGGTGTTGATAAACATACGGGGCTGAAAGCAAAATATAATAAATAATGATTCACCAGGTTGGCTTATATAATTGAGATGTATGCCAAGTAGATATGCAGCTCCGGAGCCAAATTATTGATCACATAAATTTATGCTAAAATGACTGTTTCTTTAACAATGAGGTGTTTAATTTACTGCTGAAGTGAAATTAAGAATCAGGATTCTCCATGTTTTCTTACAGGAAACAAAATCAAATGTGCATGCCTAAAATATAAAAAAAAAAAAAAAAAAATTTGTTGGTGGCTTTAAGGTTTGGACTTTAGATCATTCTGGATATTGAATGTCCGGATCTCGGACTTTGCACTGTATCATTTTGGTAGAACATTTTCCTAAAAGTACTTTTCCTTCCAGATTTTCTGGAAAGATACGAGCTGTTGAAAAATTGTACATCTGACAGAGAATGAAGATCGTAAAACATATTTTTCTTTTACATTAAATTACATTCAAAATCTAATCTTATTGTAAGAGGTGAGCTCTGTTGTTGTTTCTTATGGTCACTTGCCTGACATAGTAGGCCCAACCCCCACGAAAATCCTCATGGCAAGCTCTAGAATATACCTGCCATTGGCAACAGCCTTGAGCATATTTCAGGTGATAGTGCGATTTAGGTCAGTTCCGCCCCCAATTTTGATGGAGAGTACCCCCGGGAGATGGGTCTGGGGGTCTCCCAACCCCCTCTCACCTTCCACCAAGACAAAGGAGAGGACTTTCTACTCGCATATTTAGAGTGCCGCTATGCCACACTGACACTATACATTTCCGAACATCTAAGCCTTCTCCGGGATTCAAACCCAGGGCCTTCGGCATGGCAGTCAGCGACACTAACCATTATATCGGTTGGGCAGCGAGGTCAGCTATGGTAAGGTAGGTAGTTTAAATAGAATTTAAGTTCTTAATGAGCTCATTAAGGACGTCTTTTTCATGTACTTCTGGCATGGAAATATGTACAGTTTAATCTATTTATTTTTAACTAATAGTTAATTTTTAGTATTTTCATATCACCCTTTTTTCACCCACGCTTTTCATGCCAGAATTTAAATGAGATAGTGTTTATTCAGATTAAGGGAGAAAAAAGTGCTATTTAAATGAATGTTATGCAAGTTATTTTTAGAGCGTGTTCTGCTTATTCCAGGCCATGCTGTACCTTGACTATTAGCAATTTGATTCTGTGGCACTGAGCGCTTCTAGCCATTTGCTTGTCTCACCGGTTTTCTACACACCAGGGCTTTTCCTGTACTTTTAAATTACCTTGTGAGCTCTTAGGCTGATCTATCACATTTGAATTAGTTCAACATTAAGTATTTAAATATGTAATGTTAAGCAAGAAGTGTTGGCTTGTGTAAACTCAAGATGGGTCACTGTTATTTTTTTGTGTTAAAATAAAAGGGCTATTTACACCATTCTTCTGACTTTGCCTGTCTATGGTTTAAGACAAGAGGATTATTCCTCTGTAGACTTTCTAGAACTGACTAGTTTATGCTACTAAAGAAAGTGAGACTTTATAACACAATAACAATTCCTAAGCTGCAATTTGAAATTTTCATATTCTTTTTAGAAAATATATTAACAGCCATTAATTTTCTATCTAATACAAATAGGTAGCAATGCAAAGTGTAGCAAAAGACTTTCAGTTATTGAAGAGCTGGAATATAAATGAAATTGCCCTTATAATAACTTCAGAAGGGAGTGAAACTATGATTTTGGAATTTGAAAAAAAAAAATAATGAAACAGAATTTTCAGAGATACACTCTTTTGCAAAAAAAAAAAAAAAAAAAAATCGAAGCACCATGAAGGAAATGGTTGTTTTTGATGAAATTGAATATGTGTATAGCTCATACACAGATAATAAAATTATTAAAACATCAAGATCATAGTACCTGTTCACTGCTTGCAATCACCCATTGAGTGTGCAAATTAGTAGTTGGTCGAATTGCCCTTGGTGGGAATGCATGCTTGAATTCGTTGAAGCAAGGAGTGATAGAGGTTCCTAATGTCATCCTGCGACACATTCTGCCAAGCATTCATCAGTTGTCGCTCCAGATCTGCGATACTTTGTAGTGACCAAATCTAGCAGCCTACTATGTCCCAGACATGCTTGATTGGTGAAACAGCTTCAAGTAACCCTACAATGTTTAGTTGTCTGTAAGGTCTTCAATATCATCATAATGGCATCTTCAGTTGCTTCTTTACAGAATTACATTTGGCAGCAACAAAAAAAGATAATTTTTCTCTCTTTGTTACTGGTTTTATACTTTGTGAATTGCACACTAGAAATGCACGCTATGATCACAATTCCTGAAGTTCATTGAAACTTTGATCATTTGCATGTTCGATCAAGATGTTTTTGCATACCAAATTTTGTCACGATAGCAAAAGTCCTTCTTGGTGCTTCGATTTTTTTGCAAAAGAGTGTATATAAAATTCTTCCATATATCTAAGAATTCCAATAAAATTCTGATAAATGTACATCACTTCATATCAGATATTGTTAACATAATTGGAATGATTATTGTTTGTATTAAATATGTTTATGGAAAAAAACATAATGGTTAGCTAGCACATAAAAAGCATATCAAATTTCCTCTTAATTTCAGATTTAACAAAGAACATATTTGTCCTCTTAATTTAATTTTTGCTAGCATATATTTTTTAGTGAGGTAATAGCAAAATTCCTGTAATGTTTTATAAAATACTTTTGAATTATCTCTATACAGTATGCCCATAAAGGTCCATGCAGCCTTTATTTTCACAGTAGTTGTAGATTTGTATTTCAAATAATAAAAATGTTTTAAATCATGCAAATATTCATACTACGGTACCTTTAGATTTAAAAAAAAATCTACTTTGAAAAAATTGCAAAAGTCTAATCTTTTTCAACATTCCCCTAGAGTCCTTACAGTTATATTCAGAAATTTATACTCATTCTAATAAATGAAATACAAAAAGTTGGACTTCTGTGTGACAAATATTGGCCTAGATATTCAATTCCAAAGTCTGGAATTTTTCTCTGGTCTCACAAAACCCTCCTTATCACATTTTCTGAGGGACTGACTAAAAAATAAATTAAGATAGTATGAAATTGATAGTTTTTCCCTTCACTGTCATATGGCAACATTTTGTGATTTGTTAATATTATTTAATTTAAAATTTGTTCACATTTCATTTGATGAAAGCATTTTTATACAATTGTAAGTTTTCATATATTAATTATATATTAGTAATAATTCACATGTAGTTTCATTACTTTACAATTACAATCTAAGAATAATAGAAAATTTCACTATTTTTCCTTTCAAGTTTATGCAAGTAAGGTTACAAATTGGCTATATGCCAAAATTTGAAATCTGTTGATGTTTTCTAGACCATAGATTCTACAAGATTCCATGAATAGGATTTTCTTGAAAAAATTTTATTCATCAAAACTTTTCATGAGTCTGCATATCAAAGCTTGTCAGCTTTGATATGCTTTGCTTGCATCAACTGACCTCAGAAACCTTTTCCTAAAATGATACTTCATTTATAGTGCAATAGAATCACATTAAAACAAGCATATTACTTGACATTTTTTATGGAAATTTTAATTATATTTTTTCGTTTAACAAATAGCATTCAGAATTTTCATTTACTAATTATGCAAGATTTAGAGGCTAATTTATGAACGATCCCACACATAACTTGAATTTTTATTGTGAATTATGTTTACCAAAATGATTATTCACTGCTTGCAATATTAACATAAAAATAAATTACTTTTAACAGAACTGATAAATTACAAAATTTTTAAATTATTACACACCATTAAATGGTTAATGTCTTAAATTTTAATCATACGATACCAACTAGGAGATAATGAATTTTCGTCTACCAATTTAAGTTTTAATTTACCTATGCCATAGCTAAATTTTTGGATATCTCATAGACTTCAATGCATGTAGGGTGTCCAAAATTCAAGTTCCCCTACGAAGAGCTGCCTAAAGCCATCATCATTCATCAAGAAAAGTATGAAACTGTGTATAATATTCAGATGGAAAAGACATCAAACAAAAAATTTATTTAGTTACAAATATCATCACTTCAATGCAAACTACTGTGAAACACCCATTGTTCATATTCTTTATTACTATTAAATGGAGAAAAAGTATACTCAATGCAGAGGAAACAAAATGAAAAATCAAATATTTGAACTACCTTGGATTCATAATAATGCACATATATATCATAAATCATATATTACATATCAATATGTGCATTAAGGACATATAGGACTGAAAGAGCTCCCCACAGCTAACCCCTGGGCTAATTATGCATAGACATAAACACTGGCATAAAATACAACTAGATGGCGGCAACCGGAATGATAGATAAAGCTTCATGGAAAAAAAAATAACCTGTAATGACAGTAATGCATAAATAATCAAGCATGTAAACAGCAATCTATTTAGAAAATAATAATAATAATAATTATGCAAATTTGGCATTATGCACATTAAATGTTCATGATGTTATACACATAAACACTGGCACAAAATGCAACAAGATGGTGGCAACCGGAAGACAGATTAAGCTTCATGGGGGAAAAATAACCTGTAATGATAGTAATGCATAATAATGCAATAATGATCAAGCATGTAAACAGCAATCTATTAAAAAAACTGTGCAAATTTGGCATTATGCACATTAAATGTTCATATGTTATACATACAGGCTACCACATTTGGTGCTTGGTGCCCCGGTATATATTTGGTGACTGATTTCCTATTCAGTCATTAATACAAAAAAATTAATTATTTTCACTCACCTCTTCAAGACCTTCTCCAGAAGCATACTTTGTAATTCTCTCACTAAATTTTGTTGAAATATTTGTTATTGGTACAAAACCTACCAAACAGCCAGGTAGAGACATCAAAAAACAATCTGTTCTGGTTTCTATTACACATCCTAGCAGCAGCATCTCAGTCATAACAGTCTGTAACAAAAGGGCAATAAATACATGACCTATTATTTTATTCAAATAAATGCCAGAATTACTGAAAAAAGATTAATAACTGTAACTTGTACCCATGAAATTCTTTAAAGACTTAAAAATTTTAAATATTAAATAAACTGCTGCAATCACAATGCATTGCAATGAAGAATGAAAGATAATAAAACTATATTTACAAATATCCTACAATAGTTCTTAGTTAGTTATAAAATTTCAAATAGTTTTGATACTCAGAAAGGTAGGTATCAGTTTTACACCTAACTATACTGGGCAACAATAACAGCACAGCTATATGGCTAGCACAGAATGAAAAAAAACTTTGATGACAGCTTAGGTTACTGCTCTCCATAATGTTTCAGTTCTTTATAAGTTCTCTTGTAGCTACCAATAATTACTGCAAGCCAACTTCTGTGCAAAGGTGAACTGAGAGCCACCTTGTGTGTGTTCAGGCTGTACCCTGCATAAAGACACCTGATCAGAAAGGGTGCCTATTCAAGGTGGTACATGATAATCAATTTTTATTTTAGGTTGTTTAATTAAAAACGGAAACTTCTGCAATACCACAGGATTAACACCTGATTAAAGACCCAGTAATTAAACCTTAAAGGATCTTAAAAAAGGAGAAATTAATTCAAATCTTTATGGGGCACCATTCATACAAAAAAATTAGTTTAAATAAGCTGTTTTTCTGATGTTACCATGTTTAAGGCACCAGAGGTTTCACAGCACAATATCTTAACCCTCTGAGCGTTATGACCGGGTTTAGGCAGTCAAGATGGCCTACCTCGAAAGCATTACTGACGCTTCTAGGCGGTCACTGGAAAAGTGTTCAAAAGCGTTACTGACGGTTCTAGGTGGTCAGTGGTGACGACCTCAAAAGCGTTATGACCGCCTTAAAGCGGCCGTGCAGATGTCTCCCGCCCCCCCCTTATTTCTGGAACCCTGGAGATCTCTAAATGACAACTCTCAGTAGGAGTTTAAGAGGGTTGCTCTTCTTCGTTTTAGACCTCTATGTTTTAATGCCAAGAAAGTGTTTAGACATACGACAAACTGTCGTGAACATTCTTCACTAAATAAATAAGCAGCATGTAAAATTTCCCAATACTATGTTTAAACAGATAACATTTTCATAAAATATCCTTTAGATTTCAAACTAAATGCTCAGAAATATGCAAAATGCTTGTGAATTCAATTAAAAAATAGCATTTCAAAATATTTGCATTATTTAAATAAATTTACTTATGATTATGTAGATGCATAAAACCGGCAAGTTAAAAACTTTCAATTAATTCGCGCGAACCGAATAGTACTGCATTCAGTTAACCTGAATTACATGCAATTGCATATAAAGAATAACATTACTTAAGCAATAAGTCAGATAAAAATTAGAAAATCAATAGTCTATTTTAATAAGTTATAATAAGCGTATTCTTGATAGGGGTTTTATAAAACACAAACTAATTTAATAATAAATATAATAATAGCGACTTAATTATTCTTTTTGGAACAATACTCGTCGCTTATACTGGTTTGCTGAAAGTTTTGTTCTAATGCATTTTAAATCGTCCAATGCTTTTAATGTACATTGATATGAATGTGATTTTTATGAGAAAAAATTTTAATAAGTTTGATTTTTTGTGTGCTCATGCTTCACGTAATATATATTACATAAATTATTAAAATACTATACAGCGTAACATCTGAGTTTCCGAAATGTAACCTGCAACTTTTCTAGGAGTTACAAATTTGAATTTAAAAAAAAATAGCAGTAATTAAATAATAAAAACTAAATACTAATAAGAAGAAAAGCAGGAAAGTTTTTTTTTATGTTTGTTTAGTTTATTTTATTGTTTTGGATATATATTGTTGGCGAATGGTGAAGTTGTTGTTGGCAAAAGACACATAATAAAGATAATAAAGAAGAATGATCTGTATTATTTATTATTTAAAATGCATATAAATTTCTTCTAAAATAGTATCAGTCTTAGACTGAATGTTGTCTACACAGTTGCAATGATATTTTAACTTGATTAACATATCAAATACAGTTTCCTTTCCGATAACTTCGTCAGCGAATTTTCTCTGAAGAACCTTTTCGACTCATTAGATGATTTTGAATAAAACTTGGATTAGTCCAATTTAAAAAATATTTAGAATTACCGAAATAATAAAAGCTAATCTTATTTTAATTTCTTTATCAAAGTACTACATTATTTAGTCAGCGAGAACTGATCATAAAATCTGAGCCTTATGCCCAATATTCATAGGTCTAAGCAGTAAAAAAAGCTTGTCCTTCTAGAGAAAATCGTCACATATTATGGAAAAAATTTTGCAAGACATCATTATTTTAGACAAAACACGACTTTTTAAATTTAATCTCAAGTATTTTACCATAACTTTGTTTTCACATATGCAGATGATCGCCGTGTTTTTAACTTCCATAGCTTAAATTAAAGAAATACACATAGCAACTTCAACCATGAACATTTGACTTAAGAGAAATTTTTTTTGACATGCTACACGAAGGAATGACTAAATATTGATTGATTTTACATTTATGTTAAATGACAAGTGATTAAAAAAGAATAGCTGTAGATGTGTAAAAAACCTGTACATGTAACCTTCTGTATTTCTAAAGGAAAGCTTAAAATGGTTCACAATAACGGATGGCTTTGATCATTCAGTAAAGTCATCGTAGGTACATTCAGTTTCGCGGTTTTGAAGAACTGCAGCAGTTCAGATTTGTCGCCTAAGAGTAATTACACCCCTGGGGGACTGCTTTACTTACGGAACAGAAAAACAAGTTTTTAAACATACGCATACAAAAGACGTACCTTTTCTCACAACATAAATGGCAGATGTGATAATTTGAACACATGCTTTCAATCAGTTGCTTCCTCCTAACAAAGGTTCCTAGCAAAGTCTTGTACTGTTTTAAATATGCTGTGTTCGAGCATTGTGAATGCTTCCATTCATTATTTTTAATTTGAAACAATATTAAGTTGTAATTACTGGTTAAAATGGCTTAAAATAAATTGATACATTATACGAAAGTTTGTAAAAATGAAAACTGGAGTCACTTTCCTTTCACATAATTTCTGACTAGCTCTTCCAAAATATTTTAAAGCTTACTTTACAACATACTAGAAAAGTCTACATTTTGGAAAATTCATTTGCTGTTTTTAGTTAGTAGTTTTAATTGGGGTTGTTATGTAAGAAGGCATTTAATCGTTGTTGCTGTGTTACAGTGCTTATTTTATTGTATAAGTACTTGTAAGGCAGCAATAACGCAAATATTGCTTTATTTGTTAATATTATAATGCATAGAGGAACTTAAAAAAAGAACAAAAATAATTTTTCCTTTAGAATATGTCCTTAAAGGGTTTCCAACGAAAGCATAGATAACTAAGTAGTCACATTAATAACATTATATCAATTAATTTACTAACCGAATATGACAAAAATTTCGAATTCGAAATCCGTCTTTAACTGAGTACTTTTTTCAGAAAGAAAAATATCTTCAAAAAATCTATGCTGTTAATACATTTTTTCGATAACTTCCTGAGAGGTATTCATTGATAATAATAATAATACATAGAATCCATTAGGTGCTTAAAGCCATGAAACAGGTAAACTTAACAACGCACTCGGCAGGATCACAGTCATGGTTGGTTCGGTTTTTTTAAATATATGAAAGCTTTGAAGACTATCTACCTAAGAGGAGGGTTGCCTTCGTGGAGATATTCTGAAAAAAGCTTGTGTATTACACATGAGGAAAACCATGAAAATCAACCATGCAGTCAGTCTGTTAGCCTGAGATCGAACTCAAAACAGACCGAACTGCCAGTATTCAGAGGTCTTAACTGTTCAGCTATTGATGAGGCCTTGAACACAATCATGAATCTTCAAACTTATTCAGCTGGACGTGCTGTTAATTCCATATATTCTCCTCTCTTAAAGACTGAAATTCGAATCTTGGATCTTTCAGTTTACTAATTGGACCTGCTACTACTTGCACCACCAGGGGACGCAAGGCAAAAAAGGGTAAGTCTTTATAAATGTACCAGCACGACAGCATTATATGATTTGTTGGACATCTTAACTTCGAAAATTATATGGAATGTATTTCCAAATGGATATTATGTTCGATTATTTTTTAACTTGTTGATTCTGAAACCGATCGTCACCTTTTCAATCCAAAAAATTTCGTATTATATCTAGATGCTATATAAAGAATATAATGAGTTTCAGAAACTGTATTTACTATGATTTAAGGCTTTAAAATTTTAATATTTATAACAAAGATTTCAGGAGGCGTCTTGGCATTGAAATAATGGAATACTAATCCTGAATTCTTAAAAAGTCCTCCAACGAAGGCATCCCTACTTTTAGGCAGATAGCCCTAGAATGCTTTACATTAGTCAAATAAGCCAAAGCATACTGTTGCTGTAAAAAAATATTGTATTTTTCTTACATAATTTCGACTGCAAACGTTATATTTGTTACTACGGAAAGATTTTATTTTTGTGCTAAATTCTGAATGCTTGAATTTTTATAATACACAGAAACAGAGATAACAAAAAACTAAAAAAATATTCATAATTTACTAGGATATATAAACAAAATAATCATTGTTAAATAGATTTTTAATAAGAATATTTTGGAAAAAATAAATGATTAATGTATACTTTACGTCGTACTTCCTAAAAAGCTTGTTTGTTTTAATTGAAAACGATGAAACATTCTTGAATCATCTGACTAAGAAGTGGAATGCTTTCGTGGAAGATTCTGAAAGGAAACTTGGCTCATAATTGTATTTCACACAGAGAAATCCTAAAAAGTTCCTATGTAGCCAGGCTGTACGCCATGATTCGAATCCGTATCGAAGGACCAGATTTTGTGGTCTTATCCAGTCGGCCATCAGAAAACCCAGTTTCGTAGAAAACTACAAGAATCGAGTCATTAAAGAATTTGCTATTACA